TGTGCCTCTTCAATTATTCACATGTAAAAAGTTTAATTTTAAATACAGCAAGAAGTACAAACCTCATCTGTCAGCTGAAGAAAACATCTACCAACTGGAGGATCATTTAATGGGTAAATCAAACAAATGCTACAAGACAATTGGTCAGGGCATTTTTTAGTTGCAAGCTGCAAAAATGCAAATAAACCAATATAGTAGGAGTAGGTATTGGGCAGCAGCAACTCAGGGCAGGGCACACACCTAATGAAGCCACAGCTGTAAGGGAAGAGGTGGAAAGAGGAATGCCAGTGGTATGGGTGGCTGCCTGTATTTGGAGAGACCTTACAAGAAAGAAATGAGCCCGCAGACAAGTTTTCCAGTTTGTCAGCAGAAATTAAAGAGGGACAGTCCAGATATTCAAGGACCTGTAATGTTGAATAAGTAAACTGACTCAGCTGCATACAAGAAATAAATGCAGAAAACAGTGGCCTGACAAAGGCCTCAGTGTGAAGATGAAGGATATGGTACCCCAGCAAACTTTCCAGCTGGACAAAATGGCTCAGGGGAAAAAAAGTCTGGATTTTTTTTTTTTTTTTAATTTTACAGAAGCACCACAGGTTTAAATCTAGACTCAAAGTTTAAATCTAGAGAGCATGAGGGTAAGGAAGTGAAGAGATACAGCAGATTTGAGAACTGAGTCCCAAAAAAAGAAATGTTGAGTGTGGCTTCTGGCCCACGTTACTGAATGGAATCAATCAGGTAAAATTCCTACTACATTTTTGAAGCTCATTCTGACAAAAACAAAACAAATTCACAAGCCCAGGTTCCAGAAGTCTCTGTCCAAAACTCAAAATGTTCCTTGGGTCTCCAATCTTGTAGAGAATGAGGATTGAGAAGGCTGCACAACCTCTAATAGAGTACTGAATGTCTCTTTTGGGTGTGGCCGAAAGGGAGGATAATGGAAATGGAAGAACCTAGCAGAGAGTGAAGTCAGAGGCCAGAGGACAATGGAATGGGGAAACCCTGCTAAAGAATGGAACCCAGTCCTAAACAATGAACATCTGCCAGCCTAGGTTAAGTGAGCTCACAGCAGCTGCCAACTGGAATTTTGGAATTGCTACAGGCCAGAAACAAGGCTTCCCATGCTTCCCTTTTCTAATTATTCCTGTTGCTTATCAGGTGAGATATTGGGCAACCTGCATTTTAATTCTTAGGTCTAATAAAGGAGCTGCCTTGTCCCTCCTGTAGAGATGTCTTGACCCTTGGGTTGGGTGCAGTGACTAGATGGTACTTTGGGATCATCTTCCACGCAACAGGATGAGTACCTTTGTAGGGAAAACACACCATATATTTGGCAGTCAGAAAGGCTGAGATACACTTCTACTATTCACCCATATTTGATTCTCTTCTTGTTCCAGGCGCTTGCAATGGGAGAATTTTTTTAAATGACATAGTAGTCTTGCCTTTCAGGAGCTGTTGGACACACACACAACCATGACTTAAAATGTTTCCTAAGCAAACGTGATTTTTAGTGTGCATCAGAACCACCTGGAGGGCTTGCTGGGGCCCTCCACATCTCTGAGTCTGGGGTAGGGGCCACACTTCGAACAAGTCCCAGGGTGATGCTGATGCTGCTGGTTGGGGATATGTTCAGAACCACTACTGTAATTGATCTGTTAGCACTTATTCAGTTCATAGTGCTAGAAGGTGACACAGAACGCATAGACACTTTTACCTTCCACCTACCTGATGCGTAAACAGAGGATAAGGCAAAATGATGGAAAGAGGATCAAACCATTCCTTAAATTTTGCTATCAGAGCCACAAATGTCACTAAAAGCCAAAAGTTAACACAATCGGGACTGGGTTGAGATGATGAGTTGGCAATATCAAACATTTAAGTTGGTAACTGGCAAAGTCCCAGAAGCAAGGGTCTCCGGCAGCAATCACAGATGCCATCCCAGGAAAAAGAACTGGGCTCCAAAGTGATAGCCTTCTTCTCGCCTCAGCTAACCCCCACATTACACGATGGGGCCCTTAAGATACTCATGACCACAAATCAGCTTACAGTGTTGGCAGTATTTGTTCATGTATTAGTTCTGTGTTCCACCGGGCTTTCGCAAATAGCAGCGGTTTTTCCAACTAGAGGGAGAGAGGCCTAACTGGCTCGTGACAGCTAATTAAGCAAGGGTGTGTTTAAGAGGTGGGATTTTTTGGTGGTCTTGTCTTCCTCAGGATCTCAGAACATACACAATTTTTCTAGTTTCTGCGTAACGAACCCAACTGAAAACTCAGTGGAGAATGCAGAGGTTCACCTGGTGACCAGTTCCTAAAGGACGAAGAGGCGTTCTTTCCCCTAATCTTCTAGTGCTGTTGTCTTGACTCACTCGTGTATGCCAGTCTGAATATGGTTACCCCAGGCAACACAGGCACGTCTTCCCTTTCAGTGATGCTCAGCTAAGAGCCGAAAAGTCCACTGTCCACCCAACAGCAGGGATATGCCCAGTTATTTCCGTAATCTCATGTTCTGCTCCATTTTTTTTTCAAACAAAATAATCTCTAATCTAGGTGACTCTTGGTGGATATAACACAATGATTTAAAAAAATAGAAACTCTGGTATTTGGCACCTTTAACATTTTGTGTTATCTCATCAACTGGTCAAGCCATCTCTAGTAATGGAAAAAGCAAAGTAAGAGATCTGAGATGAACCAAAAACTGTCTGCCAAAAACATACACAAAATGCAGTTAATTGAGCATTTGGGAGCAGGAAGGGTGAAGCTTTCTGTGGGCTTTTGCCCTCTTTGTTGCTGAGCTGAGGTCAGTGTGGGATAGGCAAATTGCTGGCTCAACAGAAAGTAGCTATGCAGAGATCTCCCTCCCAGAAGAGTGCCTCACAGGAAAGGAGCTTCCCATTAGAGCTATGTGGTCTGGAAGAGAAGACACTCCAGCTAGTCTGAGCAGCTTTTCTGTAAGCACAGGACATGTAATTCTGGACACTCCATGTCTGCCTAGTAGTAGAGAGGACCGGAGGGCCCATTCTCTGGGGTTAAGAACTTTGTCCTGCAACTGTGAAGGCCGCTTGAAATGAAACTGCACCTACCAGGTGGGAAGAGACATTTCAGTTATAACTGCCACCTGCCTTATACGTGTGGCCAGCTTGCTTTAAAATTAGGGCACAAGAAAGCAGAAACTGGACCCCTTCCTGACACCTTACACTAAAATTAACTCCAGATGGATTAAAGACTTAAACATAAGACCTAACACCATAAAAACCCTAGAAGAAAATCTAGGCAAAACCATTCAGGACATAGGCGTAGGCAAGGAGTTCATGACCAAAACACCAAAAGCATTGGCAACAAAAGCCAAAATAGACAACAAATGGGACCTAACCAAACTCCACAGCTTCTGCACGGCAAAAGAAATAGTCATTAGAGTGAATTGGCAACCAACAGAATGGGAAAAAAATTTTAACAATCTACCCATCTGACAAAGGACTGATATCCAGAATCTACAAAGAACTAAAACAGATTTACAGGAAAAAAACAAACGAGCCCATTCAAAAGTGGGCAAAGGAGGTGAACAGATACTTTACAAAAGAAGACATACATGAGGCCAACAAACAAATGAAAAGATGCTCATCATCACTGGTCATCAGAGAAATGCAAATCAAAACTACACTGAGATACCATCTCACACCAGTTAGAATGGCGATCATTAAAAAATCTAGAAAGAACAGATGCTGGAGAGGATGTGGAGAAATAGGAACACTTGTACACTGTTGGTGGGAGTGTCAATTAGTTCAACCATTGTGGAAGACAGTGTGGCGATTCCTCAAGGACCTAGAAATAGAAGTTCTATTTGACCCAGCAATCCGATTACTGGGTATATGTCCAAAGGATTATAAATCGTTCTACTATAAGGACACATGCACACAAATGTTCATTGCAGCACTGTTTACAATAGCAAAGACCTGGAACTAGCCCAAATGCCCATCGATGACAGACTGGACAGGGAAAATGTGGCACATATACACCATGGAATATTATGCAGCCATCAAAAACGATGAGTTTGTGTCCTTTGTAGGGACATGGATGAACCTGGAAACCATCATTCTCAGCAAACTGACACAAGAGCAGAACACCAAACACGGAATGTTCTCACTCATAGGCGGGTGTTGAACAATGAGAACACATGGACACAGGGAGGGGAGCACTACACACTGGGGTCTGTTGGGGGGAAATGGAGGGACAGCGGCAGGGTGGGGAGTTGGGGAGAGATGGCATGGGGAGAAATGCCAGATATAGGTGATGGGGAGGAAGGCAGCAAATCACACTGCCATGTGTGTACCTATGCAACAATCTTGCATGTTCTTCACATGTACCCCAAAACCTAAAATGCAATTTAAAAAAATGAGGGCACATGCTACCAAACATCTTGCTGAATATGGCAATGCAGTCCTAATTTAGGGGTATTTATGGTAAAGGTAGAAGTGGAGCATTTGTCTTAACAGGGAACCAACTGAACTGGTTAAATATGATCAGATTAGCAGTCATATGCAGTAGTAGACTCAACCAAGAACCAAGACTCTTAGTATGACATAATCTTGGCTATATTAATCCAAGGCTTATTACACAGAGTTATGTTCAGAGGCCTGGCAGCATCAGCATCACCTGGCAGCTTGTCAGAAACACTCACTCTAAGTCCCACCCCAGAACTTCTGAATCAGAATATGCATTTTCCCAAGATCCGCAGGTGCTATTTCTGCACACTTAAGGTTGAGAAACACTGACACATACCATAGACTACCTTAACTAAAGACCAGTGTCAGTAATGGCTCAGGGAGGAGAGAAACAGCCAGCTTCTAGCCACACCTACTAGTTTTGGAGAGAATAGTTCCAAGTTATATGTACCAATCTTCACTGCCAGTAGATCATGTGTGGTGCACAGAAATGGCACAGAGACAGAGGACAAAAGTTGCCCTTCACAGACCTGAGGTCTAAGGTTCAGTTGAAGCTTCAGAGTAAGAGTATCAAATGACTTTATTATGAAAGATAAGCCATTTTACCGACCACTTTCCTAAAAAAACACAAATGTGAGAATAAAGTAAACATATATAAGACTCACTAGCCCCTGCAGGACAGGAAGCAGCTCCGGACAGAGAGCCTGCAAATGAGTTTCCTTATACCTCATGTCTGAACTTTTCACACATTCTAGGATTTCATGTTTTGTTACCTATTACAAAGGAAAGGAAACTGGCTAGAAGATTCATGTACAAGAAGGTCGCAACTTTAAAGCTATCTGACGCTAATGACTTGTACAATCTAGTTTGGAACTCTGAGAGACAGTATTAAATAAGCACTGTCAAATACCACCCCCAGTTAACCTTTACTGTCACTGTTCTTTCAAACTGTCTTTGGGATCGGTTATGTTCTCTCCCTGTAGCTTTTGTTTCTCCCAGAGCACAAACCCTAAAGTCCATGTGCAGTCTCCATGTTCAAGTAGTCTGTTTCAGGATAACCCTGGGTTGCTTTAGTGTTTCTCTCTCTGTAGTGTCTACTTGGTGTCACACCCCTGGACAGGGGACCAAATGGCAGCACAATGTAGGGGGTGACATAGTCAACTTTCCTGCTGCTGAACTTGCTCCCCTTTCAATCTGTTCACTGCCCATAGTCAAGGTTGAAATCTTTAGACCAGTGACGACCTTGGCCTATCTTCGGTCTGAAGTTGCTCTCTTATGTAACCGAATCCATTTCTTCGCCAAAAATTGAGCTTTCAAAAGGTGACAGGCATATTCTAAAAAGGAAAGATAATACCAAAAATGTTATTTATTGATGAGAGACTATATTCACTTACTTTTATGTTCCTAAATGAATTTATAATTAAAAAGAAAGACTTAAAATGCATGTTTTACACTCCATGTTGGACTCAAGGTCTTCTCTCAGTAGAGGCACAAAAAGACAATCCCGATGCTCTTGCATTGTTCATCACTGACGCTCCAAATGCCCTAGTGAATTCACCTCACTTACTAAGAATAACAGACATCTCAAAGAGTCTCAAAATGAGAACACCAACATCAGAATGAAGGGATAAAACATACCCCAATGGTCAGCAACAATGGCTAAGAGTCCACTGTTAACTTTATCACTGCTCACACTGTCTCTTGAAATCTGCAAAAAGCACTCTTTTGTACATCTACAGCTGTTTAAATTAAATGTAATTCCAAATTTAATTGAAAGAAGGGGGAGTGTTACTAACACAAGAATCCCACGGTAATCGATGGTGGTGAACAAACTCCTTCTAACTCCATGGAAATCCAGTGGCACTCAAAGCAGACTCTGAATCCCATTTAGAATACCACTTCAGAAGGCACTGCTTGATTTTATATAAAACTGCAAACCCAAGTTAACTCACATCCAGGGCAGAGACTTCTTTAAGCATTTCAGAGAAATAAGACTTTCATTTGAATCTCCCTTATACAGCCCAATCATCTCAGCTGGTTTCTAATGAAGCGTCTATTCACAGCTTACATGTTTAGCTCTAGTGGAACAGAAAATCATTCACTGACACAGAAAAACGCTACTAATTAGTTCTCAGTAAAAAATGACTCATAACAGTAGAAGACCATCTGTAGTAAATACTTTCTAAATGCTCCTCAATTATGGCTTACCCCATTCCTATCCATTTTACATATCTACATGACAGAAATGCATGCTCCTGGACAGAAGACAGGATACTGGACCTTAGGAAGTGTCCTGAGATGGAGCTGGTGGGTCCTGGCCGTCGGGCTCTGGAGGGGGTGCTGGCACAGCTGCTTTTTTCTGGGCTGCCAGGAACTCATGAATCGCTCGTTCTATTTGTGGCCTGAAGATGTGGTTTAGTTTAGGATCCACCACCTGAGAAATAATCCTGTCTACTCCAGCTTCCAACATCCCTGACCTTGCGGAGACAAACAGATCATTCTGTTATTCAGTTCCTTCAGGATTATCTTTAGCTTCAATAAATATCATGTGGGAGCCCAATAAATGCCCACCTTCAAAGCTACAGCCCTTCTAGGGAGTTCTTTTAGAGGGCAATCCACCTACCACATAGAGCTCAAGCTATTATTTTCACTTTTATGGGACAATTCTCAACCACCAGCTGTTATTCCTAATGCACAGTCTCAACCAAAATCACCCAACCTTGTACAAAGGAACCAAAAAAACGTAAGTGGGCTGCTCCAAAGACAAGAAGCAAATGACAGGATGACAAGAAAGAACTTGATACATGTGGCACTGAAAAGCTTCATCGTACTGTCAAAGCCAGGGAGCCTAGAATTTGACTCCATTTCCTTCAACATTTATTCTCTTAATAGCCTAAGTAGAAGCAGCTTCAGCAGCAACCTGTTTACTAATCCTCAAATCTTAAACAAGGCAGAGCAGTCAGGGCTGGGGGTATTTACACCACCAGCAATTCACCATGGCCTTCAGCCGTGGCTGCTGCCTGTTACACATACCAGGCAGCATGGAGGCAAACAATCAACAGACAAGACACAAATGAGTTCCAGGCTCCTAGAGGGTTAAATGACACCCCCAATCCATTCTGAAGTGGAGCAAAAATCAAAGCCTATCAATGTCTATATTCAAACACTTAGGATAGGGTACTGGACACGATGGTTGACAGGAAACAAATCATATTTGGACAGGCTGGAAAACAGCCCATAAGGTTCAAAGTGAAGTGTTCTCAAAAGATTGAAATATGCCAACACCATCACAAGCATGTGGGCAGGTTTTACTTATTTTCCTGTAGACTTGAGACTTCTACGGCCATTTAAGCTTTTGGGTAAAAATAGGCTGGACAGCAACCGGGCAAATGGTCTGTCAGGGTACAGCAAAGGAAAAACATGAGTAAATGTACATCATGACAAAGACGAGAAACAGGCCCTACACTGGGAAAGATTATTAATGTGTAAAGTGCCTCCTGGATTCAATGGTAACTAATACCTTATCGACAGGAAGCCTAGATGTAAACACACCACCATTAGAGCACTGAAGGGCACATTTTCAGGTAGACCAGGAATTAGACAGTATCCATCCTAAGCAATGAGCATTGTTCAGTACAGCAAAGTTAGCAAAAGGCTATGGGTCAGTTACAAAGCAAAGCCACCTCTCCTCAGTCACAAGCCAATACCTTTCCAACTTTAATCAAATCTTTCTGAGTCAGATTCACAGGGGTCTTTATTAGACGTAAAAGCCTGACATTATGAACTGAATGCCCCCCCAAACTTCCTACGTTGAAATCTAATCTTTAATGTGATGGCATTTGGAGGTAGGGCCTTTGGGAGGGGATTGCGTGATGAGGGCAGAACCTTCATGAATGCAGTTTATGCCTTTACAAAAAGGGCCCCAGAAAGTCAGCTAGCTCTTTGCACCACATGAGAAGAACAAGTAGCAGACTGCAGCCTGGGAAGAAGGCCATCACCTGAACCTGACCATGCTGGCATCTTGGTCTTGGACTTCCAGCCTCCAGAATGATGAGAAGTAAATATCCGTGGTTTACAAGCCACCTATTCTATGGCACTTTGTTAAAGCATCCCCGACTGACCAAGACTCCTGATCAGGGAAAACAAAGTACCAAGAGGGTGCAGATCACTTTCCTGGAGAGTTTTAAAGCTTTTGAGGAAAATGTAAAATCTTGTCGGGAGCCTAAAGTAGAAGATGGAATGAACAAATATTGTATAGTTAAAAGAGTTATTCATCATAATTCAGTTCACTAATAGAGGCTGATTTTCTGTTAAACCTACCAGGCGGTGGCACCGGGTTACAGCATCTGGATCAGAGCAGCCAGGCCAGTGAGCCAATACTCTGAAGGCCTGCACTGCCACACCCCGGGGCCAGCAGAAAGTCTGCATTTCAAAACTCCAGTAGATTCTGCCTCAAAATCAAAATGCTAGCAAGAATTGTGGAGAAATGTCCCAGTATTAAAGCCAAGTTCATGTTTTCAGGGTAAATACATTCTAAGTCAAATCAAAAAGCAGGAAAAAAAACTTCACAGAGGTGGTAAAAACTATGAAGAGAAGTAAAGAAATGATTAGCATAAAAGTCAGGAGACTTTTGAATGGGGGAAGGTATGTCCGGGGCTAGGCCATTTGGAGGGTGTAAGTCCATTTCTCAGCCTGAGTGGTGATCGAGGGATGTTCTACTTATTTGTTTTACTGTACTTCTGTGCACTTTTCAATATTACAGTTCCTACTAAAGAAATGCAGAAGAACATGCATGCCCCTAGAATGACACCCATGCTCATTACGGGCATCAACAGCAGTGTAAACAGCCTTCACACAATTATGGCGGCTTTCCAAATATTTCAAAATGTTCAGTGTTTTGATTTACCCAATGTACTGGCCGGTCCTTTAAAAGACAGGGTAAACACAAGTAACTTCAGCTGTGAAACAGGCTATTCGTGAGGATGAGTGATATATGTAAAGACCAGTGCCAGACATGTAATAAAGACTTGCTCAGTAAGGGGCAGCTACTGTCCCTTTCTTTCTGAAGGAGCCTGGTGCCGCCAGTCTGCTCTCTGGAAAAAGGGAAAGGTGCTCAGTGCTGACTCCGGAATGATAAGGCACCAGGCATCGTCAGGTATCAGGCTTCTTCCCAGCATTCAGCCACATTGAAACTACTAGCACGCGAGCAAAACTTCTTTTAAAAACTTTAAAAATCTTAAAATCCCTGCAGACTCACAGGAAGTTGCAAAGAAGTGTGCAGGGAGTTCCACACGCACCCTTCACCCAGCCACCTCTAATGTTAGCACCTTGCATAACTACAGTGCAATATCAAAACCAGGAATAGGACACTGGTCCAATTCAGACTGTACTGAGACTTCGTTACACATGCACTCAATTGTGTGTGTAACTCTGTGCAACTTTACCATGAGTGGTTCCGCGTAAGCACCACAATTCAGATACTTGACTGCACCATTGACTACACCATCGCAAGTTCCCCTCGTGCTACCACTTTCAAGCCACACTCACCTCCCTCCTCCCATCCTTAATCCCAGGCAATCACTAATGTGTGCTCCCATTTCTATAACTGTTAGCTCATGAATGCTATGACCAGATTCCATGACCTTCCTCCACTTTTGGGCCCAGTGACAGTGAAAAGTCACTCAGATAAGCTATCAATAGCACGTTTATTAACTAAGGTTCAGTTTGTTACTGTGAAGTAACAACACATTATTAAGACCCTGCCTTCCTGAAAGCTGCCACCATTACACTTTAGAGGTGGCAGCCCCGGTGGACTCAAAGAATTTATTTAACTCACATTCACCTGTGAGAATAAAGATCCAACTCCTCTTGCCCAAGATCCAAGCCCTGATATCTCGGTATAAAACTCACGTGTATGTTCAGACGACACTGAAACTTCAGAAAGCAGGGAACATGTCTCACAGTTTGGAACGTCTTTCAATGCACCCATTAGTGATGTGCACACAGGAGGCCTACACAGGCTATAGAAACTGGAATTTCCATTTCAATTGAAATGGAAAGTAGTTTGCTTACTTTAACCTTAAACGTAATAAAGAAGCAGACTGCTATAGCTCCTAAGTGATACTTGATACCACATCCTATCAACCTTGACTAAACAGAGATATCAACCTTCTTGGGCATCACACTTGTGATTACTGCCTTTTCAAAAGCTTTAAATTTGCTTACTTACTGAACCACACTCTGCCTCAGACCATTTCGCAACTGGTTTTTGTTCATTGTAGGATTCCATTCCTGCTTGTCCAGATGTGTTGACACAAAATTATCCACTTTCTGCCTCAGGTTTTGGTAAGCTGGCTAAAATGTTAAAAAGAGGAGGCAAGGTCATAAGTTATATCACCAAAGTTTTGAACTTAAGTCACTCGGAACATTGCTTTTCACAGAAACATTACTGTCAAGTCTAAATACACTTTCACTGAGCATGAAGGTCACCATGCAGTGTGGCAGCCATGAATTAATGGTTAACACAAGTGCCCACTTTATGGTGGGTGGGCACAATGCCAGGTGCTTTACTTATATTATTCCATCTACTTTTCAAGTAACTACATGCAGCAGGCCTGACGTCAACCACAGTGTGGACCCACACCTGGGGAGTCTGCAGCCAAGCCACCAGCTGAGCCTTCCTAGCTCAGCTGAACTTTGGTTGACCTGCCACCCCATGAGCATGTGAATAAGCACTGTTTTTAAGTTGCTGAGATTCAGTTTGTTATGCAGCGTTACTGTGGTAAAGTTTGCTAACAGGCAGTGAAGTGAAGTTGACAAAGGAACCAGGAGACCTCAATTCCATGAGTGGACTCTTCTGAAAGACTGAGAGAGCAAACGCAAAGACTCCACTGGAAAAGAGAAAGGCAAGGAGATGGGGGCAGAGGACTAAAATTCACAGACACCATATGCTATCTGCCTAGTAACGCCTTCTTCCTAGTAAATGTCTTCCTCTCTTCACAAGGGTAGGGCAGAGGGTGCCACAGGAGTGAGCCATACTAAGACAATGCAGACATTTCCTGGGATTTCCCAAATTGGAGCTGACTGTCTGTCTTGAGAGGAAGAAGCTGTAAGACGTAATCAAGAGATAATAGTAACCAAATGGATGACTTCACTCTGAAGCAACAGAGAAGACAGACATAGAACAAGTGGGGAATATCTGGTTCCAAATGCCTACCCTCTGGCAGAGTTTGTTCAATCCTTCCATGGATTTCATGAGACAACAGATTCTCCCCTTTGCTTAAAGCAGGATGATTTTTGTCCCCTGTAAGCATAAATCCTGATACCATACCGTCTACTAAAAATAACTCATCTGGTTTGAGATGGTACCAACTGTTTACTGAAAAAGGACAAAGGACAGTGAACATCACTACCAAAACATGTAACAAACCCAGGTCATACAGAATCATCTCAGTTCATGAAGTCAAAGGAACTCATGAGCCCACCCATAACGTTTTAGTGTTACTACCTACCCCATCATCTGTTCACTTATCAGTTTGTTCTATTTGTTTTGGGATGCATTGCGAAGTAAATTACAGACATCTGTCCGATTTCCCCTAAATACTTCAGCAGTCTGGAGTGGGGCCCAAAACGTGCGTTTCTAACAAGTTCTCAGGTGATGCTGATGTTGTTAATCCAAGTTCTCACCACTCTGAGAACCACTGGGCTACAGCAACAAAGGTCTCAGATAAGATATGCCTGAAAAAACACTATCTTCAAGAATTACAACCTGTAATTCCCAGAAGAAACAGCTAAGGAGCTGTACATGGGAAGGTTCCAACCACTGCTGGGCCGCTCAAAAGAGCAGTGCACTCCCGCTCAGGGGATACATTCGAAGACCCCCAGCGGGGGTCCGAAATCTCAGGTAGTACTAAACCCTATATACATTACCCATGAATTTCTCTGGGGGCCACTATGAAGTAAAATAAGGGCCACCTGAACACAAATACTTCCATATTGCAGCAACTGGGTAAGTGAAACCACAGAAAGCAAAACCTTGGATGGGGTGGGCTCCTGTCATCGTTTTTGTTTTAAAATCACAGGCACCCATTGATCAAGCTACAACTTGTCCTAGGGTGAAAGCTGTCAATACATATCCCGGATGTCTATGTATTGAACGAATCACTTTGTTTCAAGGATTGAATGGCCTTTGTTTCAAGGCCATTTCTAGTTGGGCTTTTCATTTTGGAAAAGTAACAGTGTATACCACTTTCTCTCTCTACAGTATGTATTTACTACCCGGTTTACAGGTCAGTTTTCTATCCCAGACTCTCAGCTGTGAGGACCGGGTAGTGACTGACTTGTTCCTGTACTGACAGAGCTTGGCAGCTGTAGGCCAATAAACGTTCGACGAATCAGCAGCCGAGGTTTTACCCTATCTTAAGGTCTAATTCCAACCTCAGTCTTGCTGTGAGGTAAGGAAACTGTTTCCATGACAGGCTCTGGTGGGAGAAATCACTACCCTATAGGAGTCCAGTCAGTGACAGGTCTCCTTAACCTACAACCACAGTCGTGGAGTTTCGAAAAGGGAGAAACTTAACGTTCCCACGACTACTGTGTGTCTGACACTTAGCACCCATTATTTCATTGAGTCCGAACCACTCTGACAGGTAAAATGAAAGCGCTTTACCGGTGGGACGGACCTATGGCATTAGGATCTAGGCTCCAAATCCCCGTTAATCAACGATGAAGTGCAGAATAAGGGTGCTGTTTCTACGGTTTACCTTAATTCAACGGCGCACTAAAGCCTGCAAAACAGAGCTAGAAAAAAAGGCATCAATGACTATCAGAGGGTGATGACTGTGTGTTCAAATCACTGTGCTTAACGCCAGCTTCTCAGTGGTGAGTACGGAACAGGTGGCAATTCTAACGCACTCTTGCTCGCCTGCTTGGTTTCGAAGTTCGTTATGAAGGGGCTCTGAGGAGTTCCACCCCCCGAATGATAGGGTCTAGGCTCTCAAACCCACACGGAAACCCCAAGTTCGGAGAAGCGGATGGTTAAAATCACAGCTGGTAGTAAACCACGAGGCAGGAAACCCACGTGCGCATCGCTCAGAAAGCGCTGCGCACCGCCCCCAGCGGCGCAGGACCTCACTGCTGAGACGTTTAAAGCCATCTTTTGTTTTGCTCTCGGCTTCGGAAAATCAAAGCTGCAACCCGGCAGCCGCACGTGCAAGCCCCGCTCCCCTCAGCCCGGGCGGCCGCAGCTACCTTTGTGTCCACGTCGGCCAGGCAGTCCCGGCGGAAGCTGTCAAAGAGGCCCCGGCTCTTGAGCTGCTCCACGATGAGAGCGATGAGCTGCGGGTCGCCGGGAGGCAGCGAGGCGGGGTTGATGGGGCCCCCGCCCCCGCCGGCCCCAGTAGCGCCCGTCGCTGCCCCGACAGAGGCCTGGCCCGCTCCGCCGCCGCCCGCCGCGCCCGTTCCCCCGCCGCCGCCGCCGTCCGCCATGGCTGCGCCCCGGGCCCACAAGGGAGACCGACTATAGCTTCTTCTCCAGGACAGAAGGTCCAGAGTGTGCAGAGGCGACGAAAGGGGCGGTGAAGGGGAAGGGCCCCACGGCGGCAGCGGCGGAGATGACGGTGGCGGTGGCGGCGGCGGCGATGGCGGCGGGGGCGGTGGTGGGGGCGGTGGGGGCGACGGCCAGCTCTGAGGCTGCAGAGGCTGTGGTAGACTCGGCAGAAACTCCCCGCTCGATTCCAGGCGCGCCTCAGATGGCGTCATCGTTGACCTTTGCATTGTGGGGCGGGAAGTTTTCTCTAGCCATCTCCGGTGTTCTTTATAGGCAGCACCCTGGCCAAAGTAAACTACAACTTCCGGCAGGCCGCAGGCTTGCTCCCCGCAATTTCGCGAGGGCAGTATGGGAATTGTAGGCGCAGGCCTCGTGAGCGCGGCAAACCGCCGGGCCTTCCCCGCCCACTCTGCAGACTTCCCATTCATCAACACATCCCAGCAGTGCATGATTGTAGCAGTCATCTGTGGAGCTGATTAAAAGTATACATAACCAGGATTCTTTCTGAAAGATTTTGATCCAGTATTTATGGGTCGAGACCTAGGAATCCGTGCTTTTAGCCTGCATTCCCACTTCCTCCTTGAACAGCATGATCCAGGACATTCTGGAAACAGTGGAACAGTCAAATTTCTATTGTTCAGAAATTTGTGAGTTTCCCTCCTTTTGGTTTTAATAGCAGTGCATACTCATTTTAGAAAATTGGAAAATAACAAAAATGTGAAGAAGAAAATAAAAGTTTTCCTTAAGTCTCTCATATGTGTGTGTGTGTATTTCCTCCCAAATATTAACTATTGTCAATAATAATGAGCCAATATTGAATAATTTTTAAATGCCAGGTGTCATGCTATGCACTTTACACACAGTACTTTGCAATAATCTAAAAAGCAGATACATACTTCTATTATTGCTATTTACAGATGTAGAAATTGAGGCAGAAGAAAATTTGTTAACCTAATCACATACCCAGAGGGAGAAGAGTAGGATTTGAACGCAGGTTTTGAGGATCTATATCTTGCATGTTTCGCCTAAGATATCCTAAGAGCTAGCAGTATCACACAATAGGTAAGGCTTTATGTCCTGATTTTTAAAAATAGCCACAATTCACCAGTGGAATCCCATAGATGCCACCATTATCCTCTCTTTCCTTCATCTTTTGCCTGTTGTTAGCTCAGCTCCTGATCCCAACCTCAGCAATTATGTTTGCTATTGTTATTTCCTCATCTTACACATAGAGGGAATAGAGAGAAGGTAAATAGCAAATTCTGCAATGTCTTTGGTTCCTGGGGAGATGCAGAATTGGTAGAGATCCAGGATGTTCTCCACACCAACATTTAGTACTTAAGAGAGTTAAAAAAAAATTTTTTTTTTGAGACAGAGTCTCACTCTATCCCCCAGGTTGGAGTGCAGTGGTGCAATCTCAGCTCACTGCACCCTCTGCCTCCTGGGTTCAAGCAATTCTCCTGCCTGGGCCTCCCAAGTAGCTGAGATTACAGGTGCGCACCACCACCCTTGGCTAATTTTTGTATTTTTAGTAGAGACGGGGTTTCATGATATTCGCCAGGCTAGTCTAAAACTCCTGACTTCAAGTGATCCACCCACCCGGACCTACCAAAGTGCTGGGATTACAGGTGTGAGCCACCATGCTGGCCAAGGGAGTTTAAATTAACCCTCAAAAGAAATACTCAGGTGTTAGATTATACTCCTCCTCTAACACCAGCTCAATCATTCACAATGGGTCAGTTAATGACGAACACTCTCTCTTAATAGCTCATCATCCTTGAGATGACCTAATGTCTGCTCTTCCTGGTTGACTCCACACTGATCACTCCCATTTAGCCCCAGGAGAAGTCCAGTTCAGTCTGACTCAGCCCCACGTCCTTTTTTTCTCCAGGCCCCTGATCACTCTGACTAGCCCCTTCTCCATATTTGGCACACCACATCTTACTCTCCTTCCTCAGGGAAAATTCTTCTGACCCCTAGATCCAATGAAATCTTTCCTCCATGCTACCGATGCTCAAAGCCTCATTTTTTGTAGCAGTTCTTATAATTGGAAGTGAATAATTTACAGACTAATTGGCCACCTGTGTCCCCTGATAGAGTGTCAGATTTAGAATGGGGACCATGACTTGTTCACCGCTGTGTCTCCAGTTTTTAGCTTAATAGTTCTTAGCTCAAAGTGAAGGTATAAATTCCTGTTTCCTAAAGCTGTGGGATAGTGTCACAGAGTGCGTGGGTGGGATTATGTCTAGCCATAGTCTTTAGAAAAGAAGGAATATTCTAGCATGAGATGATGGATGAATCTGTCTTGTCATGACTTAATGAGTAAGTGATCCTGGAGATTGTCTGCATATGGTTCACACTGTGTGTCATGGGGACCTGTGTCCTGGTTGCTGGGTCCCTGAACGTTTGGAAGATGCTGCATTCTATAACCATGACCTTCCCTCTGGAGTTTATGTAAATTGTGAGGGATAAAAGGGGAAGGGGTTGAGGAACGAAGGTGATCAAGCCGAAGCAAGGCTTATTATTTATCCAAACTGTAAAATAGGAGGCCTCCAGAACATCCAGAATGTATTCTTCCCCAGTCAAGACACATGTAATACACACCAGCGGTCACCAGATGGCGCCATTGCCGTATTAATAATCCAAAACATTCAGAAACGTCAGTGCAGAATATTGTTTTAACTTTGGCCTAGGTAGCAATCTTGTTTTCAGGTATCATTTATGTAGCAAATTGTTGTTGCTTCTCAGTGTCAAAACTTGCCTATAACAAGTTGCTCGACTGCAAAGAATTACACATTAGGTGCTGGAATATTTTTTGTCAAAGGCTGGATAAAAAAGTGGAATCTCCCCAAGCCCAAATCTAGACCTTACCCAAACTGGAAAAGAAATCAGATCTATCGTTTGCCGAGGGAGACATAAGAAAGTAGTCAAATGCATGGACTTTTCGCATCAGGTGACACTGGATTGGAATCCCAGCTGGCAAAGTTGTATCAGCCCTCTGAACCTTGGTTTCTCCAGGACAGTGGAGAGGCTTAAGTGTCATTTCGGTTGTTAGCACAATTCCTGGTCTTTAGCAAATGTTTAATAGCATCGTCACCAATTTACATTTGGGTCAGGAGCTTACTTAATTAACTTCTATTTCTCCTCTTAGCCTCTAAATTCCACAAAGGTAGCGATTGTCTGTTACATTCATCACTGGATCCCTAGCACCAGTAACTGTGCCTGGGACATCAGGCTCTCCACAAATACATGATGGATAAATGGGAAAAAAAAAAAAAAAAAAAAAAAAAAGGATGAGTGAATGGGAAATTTTCCAGGTATAGGATAAGACCATTTAAGACTTTTGATACTGCCCTGGACCAAATGTCAGCATATAGTCAATATTCAGAGGGGTCAAGTACAATCTAGGGATCTGTCCATAACATGTGATTAAACTGGACTAAGAATTGGGGCTTGGAGCAGGCCCAGGGTTAGATGATCTGGGAGTTGTCTTGGTAACCTTCCAACCTTCTAAAGGAAGATCCTGGTCCTGCAGCAAGAGCATCCAGAGCCCTAAGACTGAATACAGGGCTGCATTTAGACACCATACCTGCTTGGGGTAGAGTAGTTATTGGTCTTTATTTGCGATCATGAGGTGTTTCTTTTCCTTCTTGCCTTTGTATATTCATCCAAGGAGTCTTGCCAATTCTTAGTCAGGACAACTGTTCATTTCTTAATTAACAGCATCCAGAGTTTCTTGACATTGCCTGTCTACAGCATTTTGGCTACATCTGCACCATCTGATCCCTGCTTCTTTTTATTGTTTGTTTCCTTTTGATGTTTTCCAGCATCTCTAATGATAGATTGGATCCGGCACACATTAAAAAGAAACAGGGCTTTAATAAACAGAAATCCCTAGCACCAAGCAACACTACTACCGTCTCTCCAACCAAATACGCATCTCGGACAAGATTTCACGTCACAGTGTTTTTAACACATTGTCATGTCACATTATTATTACTAAAGAATGTATAGTGAAAGACGCAACCTGACATAATACAGAGGAAAAAGGTGAGACATTTGGAGTTTGGTTTAGGTTTGGATCTAGCACCTCTGTTTATTGGCTGTGTGACCTAGGGCAATCCATTAGCTAGTCTGAACCTCCATTTGCTCATCTGTAAAGTGGGGATAGTAATACCTAACTTGAAGAGCTGTCACAAAAATTGGAAGGTAGTATGTGTGGAGAACCTGACGCACAGTAGGCCCTCAATAGCTAATAATGTGGCCTCGATACAACAGCCTGATGTATTTTATTGTAGCCCATTACTGGGCAGAAATCTTAGCTAATGTGTATCTAGAGTTAAGACTAATAAATGTATTACTTTGGTAGTTTCAATCTTATGATGACGTAGGGATTGACTCAGCCAGTCTCTAAATTGGTGGACTCAGTGAAGCCAAGTTCATGGCCAAGTCCATGGCCAAGTCCTATATGCTACTGCTGCTGGGCCTGGGTCCATCCTCTACCTTTGTCTTCAGAATTTGTGTTCTCTAGCAATACTCCGTCTGCCCCCAGTTACTTCTAATTGCCTACCTAATATCCATTTGCCCTAGTTTGTAAAAGGTCCCAATTTTGTTTGGGGCTGCAGCACGTCTGGCCAAAGTATATACATCTGTGATTTCCTTGTTGCTAAGAGTGACCGTAGGGCCCAGTTCTGGTTAGGAGAGAAAAACTGAGAGTTTCTGGAAAAGCTTTGTATTGCTGATAGAAGCACCACTTCTTCCTGCTGTGGCATCCTTCCTTCTTCCTGCATAGAGGTTCCGCACTCAAGAACCAACACCTAAGGGTTAGCCGGGGCCACGTAACTAGTTCTGGCCAAAGAGTTGTGAGCGGAAGTGATTTTGGGGCCAGGCCATTTTCATACCAACATGAGACCTTCCAGAGCTCTCTTTCCACCTGCCATGGTAACCAGGACAATTGGAGACGATGACTAGTCTGTCGTCCTGGGCCTCAGAGGGAGGGGACACGGAGCAGAGGCCCCAGATAACCCGACATGCCGCATGAGTGAGAAAGAGGCCTTTTGTTTTAAGCCACTGAGATCTGGAGTGTGACTGCAGCAGCACCCAGCCCATCTGACTATTACAGCCCTGACCACTTCCCTCCGCGAAACCCGTCACTTCTGGAATGACCA